AGTAAGCTTTAATAGTTTTGTAAAGCTGAATTAAAAGGGAGGTTTATATAATAACCTTTTAATTCTTAAAAAGACTGGAATGTTGTAGGGTTATCGATAATATACATTTGCTTCTATCATACAAATTAAGGAAATTACCAACAGTGACTTTATAGATGTTTGAAGGAACTGAAGAATTTACTGCAAAAGTTCTCAACTATCAGTATTACCTTTAGGCGTTGAATTAGATGCTTAAGCATACTGACAAACTTGGCCACTGTGCTACAGAATCCAAAAGTCAGAATTTTAACTCACCTGAATTCTACTACTTGATGTAATCATATAAAACCATGCAGTAACTTCTGTTAATTCAGTTTAAGAATAGCACTGAAAGCTGTAACGTTTTAAAGTTTATGAGTGGAAAAAAACTATTGATAAAGCGAAATTTTACAAACAGTTGAAGTTAGTCAATATTGTGTTTACAGTATGCATCTTTTACAGGTAAACACAATTATCTATAGTCTGCTATAAGGAAATAATGTCTTCTTGTACAGTGTATTATGCACTTACAAAAGTGGGCTGATTTTCAAATTAGTCATTTACGCAGGGTAATAAACTGGTAAATGAATACATATAAGCCTGTAAGACAAGCCATATCAGTAATAGCCAGTAGTCGATAATAGTCTCTAAAGTATAAAAGGTTACATTTGAAAGCTTGTACATGAGATGGTGGTTCAGGTTCGATTCCCAGCCGACTCACTCCTGAACCCTGTAAAAAATACTGCCACTATGGTACCTTCAAAGTACAAGCTTGAAGTTCTGTGTTCAACTCACAAAGCAAAAGAATGGAAAAATGAAAAGAAAAACATACGAGATAAATATTTACCGGCAATCAGTTGCTTGGCGTAATTCTATCATGACTTATTCTGATTCCAGAAGATGTCTGTCTTTCCTTCAACTAAACAACATACTCTTTAAATGTTGCACTTATTTTGTATTCCTAAATATTTCTAAGAAACTGATGACAACTTATTTTAATGTTGTATCACTTTGAGTGCAGTAAGTGTCAATTTCGCTTCACTGATACGATTTTTTAATTCAGGAATTGCTTACATTTCTTATTCCGTATATAACTATCAGAAGTATATTTTGCAGAATACTAGATTTCATGTCAACCCGTTTTCTGTCTTAGACCACCGTCTAAAGAAGTGAAAAAATTGAAAGAGATTCAACCATACGATGACAGTTCAAGCAGTGAAGACAGAGTAAGTTATCCGTCTTTTGAGTAAATATAAATAAATATTCATATTAGTATTTAATTGGTGGATGGTGACTAGCAGTGGAATCAAGGATGCACATTTCGTCCTATTTGGGACTCGTCATCTGGATGTACCTGCATTTCTCTGTGAGTGATGATGTTGCCACCGAGGCTCGAACCCAGTGCACATGTCAACCTGAGACCGAGCACTTCACTCCAATCAATCGACGGGAAAATCAAAAATTCAATTAAGTATATATATTTGTTGAGAAAAACTTTCCGTGTAAACAAAACTAATTTAACATAACATAACATAAGCTTTATTCCAAATCAGTACTTGTGATACAGAATGGAATTCTCAGCATTTTACTAGAATATTGCATCCAGTTTTTTTTACATTAACAATAAATAAAGTTCTACATAGTTTAAAGTTATCTCAACAACATATTAGTATGTCGATAGCAAAGCCAAAATTAAAGTGTTTGAAGGTGTTAGAAAAGTAGATACTACTAGCATATTTACTGGTGTAAGCGATAGCAAAATGTTCGAGATGTACAGAGTGTGAAAGAACGAACAAGAATGTTTTAAGTAGAGTTTGCAAGGAAGAGAGAAACAAAACAGCACATAACAAAAATAAATACAGAATGAAAGAGCGAGAAAACGTTGTACCTATAAATGATGTGAGTTGGAAAGACAAGATCCATTGGTTCTACTGACTATTTAATAAGTTAAAGGTTTCATGCCTGATGCATTCTTTATCGCACAGAACACGAGCTAAGTAGGGTATGGATGAGTTTTTGTACTTACTAGTGCGGGCATATAGTTTCCTATATAGGCTTCTTGTTTTCCCTGAAGAGATACATGGGGACAGTTGTGAATGTAGAGGGTGTTGTGAGTCAGATAAAATGGATTTCGCCCATTTTTCACATGAGTCCATATGCCTGTCCACCAGAATATTAACTAGCTGGCTAAGTGGCAAACTGCTTACCCTACTGACAACCTTTAACATCCTACGTAATAAGGTATAGTCTTTCTTCAATAGCCCAGGAAAGACTAAGGAGGAACAATAGAGAATAATAGGCAGAATACGGGAGTTAACAAATTGTAGGAGTAAGGGTTGGGTTACACCAGAATGTCTTAACTTCAAGATGTAGAAGGTGAGACAGAATATTTTCTTAGAAATCATCAAGATATGAGACGACCAGGAAAGATCAGCAGATAGAATGACGCCAAAATATTTAATTTCCGACTTGGTTTCTATTTCACTGCCATCTATGTTGCACACCTCATGAGTGCTAACCAGTTTGTTTAGGTCAGATTTATGCCTAAGGGTGAAATTAACTGTTTGGCATTTGGAGGGGTTTAAGGTTAGACAGTTTTCCTTGGACCATTGGCTAATTTCCGATAAGAAGCCATTTAGTTTAGAGCAGTCACTTTGACATTTGACAGGTAAAGACACAGTTAGGTCATCAGCATATTTGACAAAGTTAATGTCATTTGAAGACGGTAGGTCATGTAGAAAGAAAGAAAAGAGAAGTGGGGAGAGTACAGCACCTTGGGGGACACCAGCTTCTGTGAGCACAGCAGAGGAGGATTGGCCTTTGTATACGGTGTACTGCATTCTGTTTGAAAAGTAGGAATGCAACCAGTTAGTGACCCAGGACTCGGTTTGTGTCATGGAGAGCTTATTTAGCAAGAGACTTCTAGGTACAGAGTCGAAAGCAGAAGTAAAGTCAAGAAACGTGCAGCGGACATATTTGGCACCTTTGTCTAATGATGAGATAATACTGTTGTGTAAGACGGCTGCAGCGTCTAAAGTACTCCTACCCTGTCTGTAGGCAAATTGTTTGTTAACTCTCTCTCTCTCTATATATATATATATATATATAGTCTGCCATAAAAGTATTTCAGGAAAAATGTGAAAAGTGATGCAGTGTAATACTTTATGGAAATCACAAAAGACCCAAATACTAACATACTCAAATCTTTGAAGCTAAATTCTCAAACCAAAATTTAAACTGCAACCCTTCGCACTAAACAGTAGCTGACGTACTATGAAGAAGTAAGAAGTTGTGTTGAGAGAGACTGAACGCTGTACTCGAAAACCTGTGCGTTGATTTGTCGAATTTTTGTTTCACACGTTAATAAAATAGTAGAAGGGCTACCGAGATGAAAGTTGATGTTGAAAGTAGGAAACACTTAAATCTGTGGTGTAGCATACTGTATTGTTTAAAAACTATAACTTTTCCCATTTGATATGAGTTCCATGAAACACCAGATATTTGATTATGATAAGATTTATACACATCATTTCCACTTCAGCAATCCACACTCTCATTTCAACTTATTACCACCTGGTTGTTTATTTGTATTTTCTAGTTGATCAAATACATTTACAAAATTCCTCATTTAACATGAATAAACGTTTATTTCACGATTTTAGGATATGTGGTAATAATCTCCACTGGTGGGATAGAAATGTTGACTAAGGACTTAAAGGATTATTTTGAAGTGCCACAAGCACCACATGTCATAAGTTCGGGCTAGGTGAAACTAGGGGAAATTACGACATGTTATTCTTCTGGTTCATTGTGGAGCACGGAGATAGGAAGCATGCAACCAAACACTAGTCAGTTGTCATTCCCGACTTTATAAAGTGAAACATAGCGTTCCTGGACAATTATTATGACTTCTAAAAACTTTTTGAAAGTTTTGCAAAGACCTCCTACTTCTACGCCTTCCTTTAGCTTCTTTTTGAAGGAAACACTGATAAAGCGGCGTAGAATGATCAAAAGTAATCCACCACTTCATAATTTAGAAGCTTTATTCCTTTTTAATTTAATCGTAAGTCTGGATTTTTATTTTGAGAAAACCAATAGACTCTTGCTGAGGTTGATTATACGGAAAGACTTTTTTCTTTAGTAAATAAATAGCTGTAATCATTAGATAAAAACAAGACGAATCCACAGATTCGTTAAAAAGGTCTCCTCACTAGTTGCAAGTAGCATTAATCAGTGAAATATTTCACTATATGTATGGTAATGGTAATGGAATCATTCACTATTTCAGTTTTCATTTCTTGAAAATTTTAATTAACGTCATTTATATGAATATGGTAAATAAACATCCTTCTTGTACACTGAGTGCTCGTAAGCTACAGTCAATGTGTAATCTCTGTTAGCCTAAACTGAATCACTGGAAGTACGAGCCATCCTTTCGAACTAAGGTGGTGTTAACTAATTTTCTTCTAGTGACAGCGTCTAATTGGGGAGAATAAAGTAAGAGACTATTGCGAGTATACAACTGACGGCTGAAGAGTCCCAAACTAGGATGAAACAGCTGTCCAGTACTCCCAGGTTTTCCAGTGGTTCTCTAACTAATGTCAGCTCATGATGAAATCCTGTAACTGAAAAACTGTTTAATGATATAATTATGAACAATATATTGTGTCTGAAATACCCTCCAGTAAATGATTCTGTTTCACTAAGTGATGTATCCATTAAATATGGAATGTTCACTGTTCAACCTTAAAGTTGAGATTTTTTTGGTTGGCAATAAATTTCTTTGCCTCTCTTAAGTACACTCATGTGTGATCACAGTAACTGTTCCTTTTCTAAAAACAAAAATACAAACTGTGCGTCGGTGGCACAGTGGTTAGGACTCTCGCGACCATGCAGATGGTCCAAAGTTCGATTCCCTGCCGGCGTACACCTGATATCTATGGTCGGCCTGCAAATTTGGGCTACCGATATCACATGCTGAAAATTCCATACTTGTACCAAAAATAGTGTGGAATCAAGCTGCAATGAAAAAAAGAACTTGTCAGACAAAGTTATTATACTTTTAGATGCGATTATTATTTTGCTGTCATTATTTCTAAGTCTGTTTTTTTTTAAAAAAACTGTATAAAGTTGGAGAAATTGACATTTTATTTCCTGGCTACTGTAGAATTTATCCAACTAAAATAAACACTACTCCTTTCTCATGAAAACGCCCTCATTGTCTGCCGTCGTCTCTGTGTCTCTTCTTACTGTCTTTTACTTTCCTGTCAATCCTTTAGGATGACAACGTGTATTTTACAAATCCTGTACAAATATTAAATATTATGCGTGATTTAGAGGACACTAATTTACGATTGATTCAGCACTGTCAAGAATCAGATGATACCATTGAAATATTACGGAATCAAGTGAACGAAAGTGTAGATAACTAGTAAATTGTTTTTTCCTAATCCTAACATTCTGGTATTTTATTATTTATTTTAATTTTATCGCTTTGTGTTCCGAGTGAAATAAAGAGATTCAAGCTTGAGTTTTTAAGTTTCACTAGCAATGGTGTTGACCTTTTATGCGGTGGGTGTTATAACATCAGTGAACTGTAATAACCCTGTCGCCAATTTGTTATAACTAGGGCTGCTAGTCTCATGCCCAATCTTCGCTCTCTATCGGGATTACTACCAGCTGAACGAGGTTTAGAAGTGTGTCGCCTGGTGGTCGAACCTCGGACCACATGCGCGTGGGTGGAGGGCATTCTGCTGCTGAGCCTCCGACGCAAATTTTGATCTCTTATTATTATTATTTATTTAAACATTCTGAAACTATAATGAAAATAAAACATGATATTTGTAAAATACAGCTCAAATACGATAGAAATATACTTTGCGGAAAATGTTGTTATAATTGTGCATGATTCAGCCACAGTCTGGCACACAATGTTATTAAGTGTAATGCAATACTGTTATCCAGTTTTGGGTTGTATTCAGTTTTAAATGGCTATAGGTAATCGCAATAAGTGTTTCTTGATATTCTTTAGTATGGTGTATTTGTGACCACAAAAGGAAAGAAGTTGTAGTTCTTCTACTGTTTTAGAAAGAAGAGAACACGAAGTTCAGCAAAGATATCTTTTCGGCGATTTCATTCTCAACAGCTGTACAATCGCATTTAAATAGATTAGTTTACATGGATATAATTATTATTTGTTTAATTCCACAAAGTAACGAAGGTGATAATAATTTTCAACTTGATATGAAAGTTTGAAGGTACGAATATAGATTACAAGGGGCTTAGGGACAAGATTTCATAGGATTAGAAAATAGTTACAACGTATGCAAACGTATACTGTTTGTCTTTATTTTCTAGAAGGTTTGCCTTTTAAAGCATTTGAACTTTCTGAATGAAGTCGATAATATGTATGTCTTATACTGTCACATAATCAAGACAGATTCATTAAAAAGTCAGTGTTATTAAATTATATTTTTAAATTAGTCAAAACACAGTGTGATTATTGTACTCTTTTAAATGTATTATTTCTCGGGTCCACGGTATGAATAAAGCAGATTGACAGACGGAAACAGATTCCTGTATATAATTATGCCAGTCTAAACTGCTAAACTCCCATGCAACACTGATTTGGTTATAAAAGTCGAGAAAACAAAGATTGGTGAAAACATTTAACAGTCTTTGAGGAAAATAGACAGTGTTTTTAAACTATTTTTTCTGCCGAATGTTATCATTGGAAGTCTTAAGTGATTAATTAATTTGACTAAAAACTTTGATGTTCATTCCTCTTCTGTAATGCACTAATCTCAACTGTTGTACACCCACATCTATTTAAGGATAACACTGTGTTTAATATTCAATTTTTTTTCATTTTGATTTTTTAGTCAGAAGGATGTTCGCATTTTATCGAAACACCAAACCTCCCTTCAAGAAGCCATTAACTCGGAAAAAATTAAAACTCAATGCTTAAATTTGAGTATGAGGTTAGTTTAAATTATGGATTGTATGTTATTACTTGAGTCTATGAATTTGTATAGGGATTTCAATGAATAAAATGGCGGAACAAATAAGTGGTTGAGACAGTAATCAAGCTGGTTTCAGCATGTTGATGCTCATTAGTAGTGCATATGTGGTGAGAGCAGGCTGCTAGCCAATTGGTAGACATAAATCTACGCCAATGTCTAGGTCACTAATATGGGCCGTGAGGAAATATGAGCAAGGCTGATTCAACAACCAATCACAGCAAACTTAACGTGGGCAAATATAATTCGCAGATAGATGGCTCCACTTTTCGATGGTTACCCAAAACAACCAATCAGAAGCCTGCGTTTGTCTGCCTTACTTCTGAGAAACAACCAATCAGAAGACGGTGTTTGTCTACTTGAATAGGCTATAATAGTGTATGTGAAATATATATAAATACGTGTTGATTTCCGTAATAAAACGATCTGTTGCCTGGCCCTTGTCTTCTGTTGTTACACATATACTTATACTTTCTGTGAGACTTCAACTGAAGTGTTAGGATTATGGAAACGAATGTCATACTGCGGTACTTTTCAGTTCAAAAATAATCTCCTGATCTAACTGTACGGATTGTTGATTTCATTTTGAAAAATAAAGCCATGGTTTGCGTTTATCTTTTTTAATCGATTAGACTATAGTTTTAATACTGATAGTAATAATAATACCATTCGACCAACTGGTATTTATCACAACTAATGACTGACACAATGTTCGACTTACTAACTGTTAAATATATTAGAACAAGACATATAAGCGAACAATATTGTTTTCAATTAGATCTTCTTCAGGCTTTACTCTAATTTACATGGACTTATATATATAAAATTTTAACCAATGACGGTGATTTAGTGGATCAAATAATAATAGTAATAATAATTATAATATTGTGGTAAATGTTTTGAACGAAGTTAATAGCGATGATTATAATAATAACAAAATATTGTTAATAAGGCTTATATAGGTGATAAGAATAACGAAGTTAGTATATGCATATATGTAGACAATTCAATAAATAAATAAATTAGGTCAAATCAAATGGAACGATAATCAGAGTTTAAATAAATATCATAAAAGTACGAAGGAGAGGGATGATAAGAAAGGGTGGGAGGGTTTTGAATAGAATTCACCTAGGCCAAGGGAGAGACAAAGGTAGAACAAATTTCTTTTGTATGCAAAGACTAGGATTGTTCTCTCGAATTCCCATAGCTTCGGCTAAGTGTAAAAGACGGGTTCTGATTCCGTTCGAAAGACTTGATGGAATGCGGTAAATAACTTTGAAAGCACTATTTTTGTCCACTTGGTGACCACTATCAATCAAATGAGCCAAAATAGAACTTCGTATGGACTTTATTTGACCTTTTCCGAACCATGAAGGAAGATGCTCTTTAATGCGTTCGTTAAGCTGTCTAGTTGTTCGGCCTATATAGCTTTCTCCACAGGAGCAACTAAATTTATAGATACACATGGAAGTGGCACAACTAGGTAACTTATCTTTCACTTGAGCAATCAAAATTGGCCGGCTGGAAAATGACAAACAGAGGGTGGCGGCAGTATAAGTCTGTTTTATCGCTCTCGATAATCTCTGATGTAAGACTTCACTAGCCACGTCCCCATTAAATTGCAGTTTGATGAACAGTTGTTTCTTTTTAACTGTTATCGGTTTCTCTTTATTGTACTTAGCATTCATGTGTCTCCTGACAAATCTACTAGGATAACCCATTTCGACTAACGTATTTTGGATGTATCCTAGCTCATTCTCTAGAGAGTCATCTGTACAGATGCGTCTTGCTCTATTCGTCAGGCATCTGACCAAATTGATTTTGTAACGGATTGGTACATAACTGAGGAAATGTGTATATTGTCCTACAGATGTAGGTTTTCTATAGACATCTCTCTTTAGTGAACCATCCTCTCTTCTGCTCAATTGGACGTCAAGAAAATGTAGTCCACCATCATATTCTTCTTCACAAGTGAAGATAAGCGATGGATGTGCATCGTTAAACTTTTTTAACATTTCATTCTTGTCAGCTTTCACATCAAGAATAATAAAGGTATCATCAACATAACGAAAATAAGAATCAGCTTTTTCTATTACTTTTTTCAATGGACCATTTTCAATCTTGGCAAGAAAGAAATCTGCTAAAATTGGCCCCAACGGAGAACCCATGGCAATACCGTCGATTTGCCTGTAGTAAAGGTTGTTAAATATGAAATGTACATTCATAGTACATCTTAAAAGCAACTCTTTCAGACTACTAACCGGTATTCCGATGTCGATCTGTTTTTCTAGTATCTGTTGGCATATGAATTCCACAGTCTCCATAAGTGGTACATTGGTAAACAGTGATGCTACATCGAGGGAAAGCATTTGCTTTCCATTTACATTAATATCATCCACGTTAGCAATAAATTCAAAAACATCTTTAACACTATGATTTACTACCATCTTGTGTAATGGTTGGAGGAGTTCACCTAGCCACTTTGCCACTCCATGGTAGGTAGAGTTTGACATATCCAGGACTGGACGAAGAGGAAGTCCTGGTTTATGTATTTTGGGCAGACCGTACAGACGTGAAGTATTACTTCCACTAGAATAATGGAAATGGTAGTGAGTCCCTATGGTGTTAAAGGACCAGTATTCATATGATAAGGAGTAGTTGTACACAAAAAGAAAAAGCTTCAGAATTCTTTGAAAAATATAAATAGGAATAGGTGAATAGGGATTCCAAATAGCTTACTTTGAATTAGTTTATACCTTGGACAACAGTTTATCAAAAAAAGATGTAAACCCTAAAGTAAAAGTAGCTGACGGTGAATTATTTCAGCTGGTTTATTTTCTGGAGGTTTCTTTTCTTGCTACTGAAAAATTAGCAGCATTCATTCACTTCTAGCGTTCTGATAACAAAAAAAGTGACAGAATGGAGCGACAAACTGATATAACCCTATTCAATCCAGTAAAGTTATCAAGAGTCGATTTGTAACGATTAGATTTGTTTTTCGATTTTGACCACGGATTGATATCGGTTAGAGAACCATTGCAAACAAGCAGGGAGTAATGGACAGCTGTTTCATCCTGCCCCCAATGGAGTTCAAACCCAGTACCTTCCGGTTACAAGGCGAGCTGGTATACCATTCAACCACTGGGACCCGATTCAATGACTCATGAGTTCTAAATTCTACCAATTCGTGATTTTAGCGCAACTACCAACCAATGTCATCGGCAGGAAATCCATCCTCACTCCCAACTAGGTGGACATCACTGGTCACGCCTTCTCACTTGAACTCCAGGAAACTCCATCCTACAGCAAGTCAATAGCCAGCATCTGTAGAGTGAATCAAACAACTCTGAAAAGTTGATAAACTAACAAAGTGAAATTACCGCTGAAAATGCCCAGCATATATTAATCGTATTAGTTGAGGCTAGGATCAGTGAGAATACATTGCGTTTTTGCCTTGATTTGAATTGAATAACCCATTGAATACCCTCGACAAAATCAATATAGAAACTCACTTTGAAATAACATCTGAGAAATAGGTAAAAATAAGGTTTGTTCACTAGAAGTTTAAAACGATGTCTACAAATCGATAGAGAAAACTCCCTTAATTTGATGAATTTATATACGTGTTCACCATTGTGATATTTAGTTGTTGTTCGAATATCAGATAGATGACCTCAAACTTCTTCAGTTTCGTCAATCTAAGTGCTAGTAGTTATTTCGAAGACAGATGATAGTTTAAGCAGACATGATAAAATTGATAATTTATAGTGGTGTTTCAGTATTCTTCACCTTTTCATCGTGAGTTTTTACTCTAGCAGTGTCTTTCTAACTCATGTAATATTTTTAAGTCCATATAAATGTATTTAATCATGCTTACATAGTTAATGCTGTCAGTTTACCATCTATTGACGCGTTTTGTTGGCATCATCTCATTGGAGTAATTTCGCTGGTCTCAAAATAAAACTCAGGTTATTCTATAAATAAACAATATCAAAAATATCTCTGTTTCTTGTATTTAATTTGACTGTGTTTCGCTAACTTTATATCCACCCATCTTCTATCATCAGTCGATTAACACTCGTCAACTCTCTCATAGCATGGCTAAATACTATTTGTGTTCGAAAGTAAATGTGGTATTTTTTGAGATAAAATAATTTCATCTTACTTCTTTTTAACTCAGTCTTTGTTTAAATCTTCCAAAGATATAAATTAAAAAAACAACAACAAACAAATAGATTCTCATACATTTGTACGACCAGTTTTATTGTTTACAACTGATGTCTACCAGGTACAGTTAGTACATAAATATCATTCATTTTAACTGCTTACATCCCAGATAGCACTTTTAACATGTCCTTATGTTGACCTTCTTTGGAATTAGTTAGCTTCAAAATAGAGAACTGTTGGAATACAAGGAGGTTGAAAATTCTGGAAACTTTTAGATGCTCCATATGTACATGTATCGACTGGTAAAACTCAATATAATTAGCTGTTTCTATACTCCATAATTCGTTGTCGAATAATATTTATCATCATCCAACAGTATCTATCATACAGCGGACATTTCTAACTTGACACATGGGTGGTGATGATGACGATGTATTTACAGGATTTTTCACCAATCTATTTGCGTATTTCATTCGACTCACCCTGAGGCTGAAATGTAATGTCTCACAGTTCTGCCAAAAAAAGGAACTCCACCACCACAAAATATTTACTGTAGAAGTGCTGAAAATTTTGACAGGATTAATAATGCTCTAAATAATATCTGTAGTGGAATTCGTAATAATAATAATAAATTTTTTTCCCTTAATCTTTTCAAAATCTGTTTCAGTGACTTTTTATTTTCGGGTTACAATTCAGAACAGCAGAAATTAATTTTGAACGATCTTCATGAAATTATTACTGAGGTTTATCGAGATACTATTCGGAAATCTGACACACCATTGAGGTATCGTTTTGGTAGCTTGTTATTTACTTTTTCAAGAGTATCTGTTTAAATGGTGTTAAATGTATGAAAACTGGTTTATAATGTTGGTCTTGTACGAACGATTTTGTTTCAAAGCTAGGCCCTCAGACATTTATCTGATGACCGAAATAGAAGGCAACCATTTATTTACTTTTTTAATTAAATAAAAAGTGACAGATTGGTGCTAAGCGACCAAACTTTTCATAGAGCCTGGATCTACCTGATGAAAGGTAGTATGTGTCTGATTGATCAGTTCCTAGATAAAGTGGTGGGTTAATGTTTACATCAGCAAGGCACCTTTTCATCCTAACGATGTGTTCTGTTGAGTCGAAGAATTCTCTACGTAGGTGTCTTTGTATTAGTTTTTTGTACTGGGTGTTATAATAAAGTATAATTATATTTCAATAGTTTACACACAATGATAAGTTTTGTTATAGGTAATATTTCGAGCAAAATTACTGCCAACAGTGGTGTGAACACGGGAAATAATTTTGCTCGAAATACTACCAATAACAAAACTTATCATTGTGTGTAAACTATTGAAATATAATTGTACTTTATTTGATCTAATCCACAATGCTCAAACTTTTTACTGGGTGTTATGACTTCAATGTGTAGGTAAGACACTCAACCGGATGATTTAAAAATGTTTCATGGAGAATTCACACAATCCTCAGAGAAGTTACTCATTACCATGCGGTATAATTTAGTATGAATTAACAGTTTGTGTGGAGCAGTTACAGAGAATAGACGTTTCAGGCAGTTAGTTTTCTTCATAAATTTGTGTTTGTCAGTTCTCCTTTATCGTTAATAGTAGATGTATTGAGGCTGAAAATGACTGTGTGAGCCAACTGGTCAGTGGGTGATAATCTTTGCATGGTTAAATGACTTTGGTAACTTCTGGGTTAGCCTGCAGACTCTTTCTGTGTCATTAGATTAGTCTGTTTTGAAAGAAACTGTCTTGAATGAATTGAATGATTTTGCTCAGCAACACCCACAACCTAATGATATCACTGACAGATACGTTCTTTTCTATAGATTTAATAATTTGTGAGAATGTGATTGGTGGTTTAGGGGAAGATTTTGTCACAAAGCAGCACCAGTGCAGTTTTTAATATATTGACAGTAAGTGACTGGCAACCTGATCTTCATATAATATGATGGCCATAGAATCTGTTATTCTGTGAAACCGTCTTTGCTAATTTCTGTACTTCTCAGTTCTGAATAGGGTTCAGTCAAATAACGGTTGTCAGAGAAGGGGAGCGTTAAACGCTTAAGAGTACTCACGTTTGTCCTGTGAATTAAAAAAAAGATAAGACAGTTTACTTGTTTGCAGGAAACCAGGCATACACTAGACATACAATCGATGAAACTTGAAACTTCCTAACTATGCATTTATTGCTAATGAAACCTTGGTTTCAGTATCCTGAAGTCAAAGAAATAGCTAAAAATAAAGGTGACTTTCGGAGCAACGGTGGTTAAATATGCTGATCCGATTAAAATTGTGACCGTTTTGAAGGCCACGTTTTCATGTCACATATTCTGCTTGCCAGCTGGAAACATTTTGTATCACATTATAGTATATTACGAAATTTCATATTTTCAATCCACCAGAGGGCGGCTTTTATTGTCTAGGTATGCCCTAAAGGCTGCTTTGTTTCATTTACTCCTCTGTCCCCATAAATTTTATTTGCTATTCAAGTATTGGTTTGTAGGGATTCGGTTGATTGGTTACAGGATTTCATCATGAGCTGACATTGGTTAAAGAACCATTGGAAAACCTGGGCGTACTGGACAGCTGTTTCGCCCAAGTTTGGGACTCTTCATCAGTTCAGAGCTCGCTTTGTAACCAGAAAGTCCTGGGTTCGAATCTTGGTGGGTGCGTACTGATGAAGGTTTTCCAATGGTTCTCTAACCAATGTCAGCTCATGATGAAATCCTGTAACCAATTTTATTTGCGTTTGTAATATGCAGTGAGAATTTGACATGCACTTTTACATCTTCAGTACGTCGACAGAGTAAAAAATTACTGAATACCTAGATTTATCCTCAGCATTAACGACAGGGTGATCAATTCTTCCTAAGAGTGTTTAATGTTGTGTTTAAATGTGAGGAAAACTGTTAGATTTTTGACACCTTCCATAAACTTTGGTGGTGAATAACAGCAAGTACACAACACAACTTATTCACAGGTTCTGATGGTTTCTTTTTGGTTATTGAATGAAGTTACCTTCTTTTTTTTTATCAAAAAGTTGATTTCAGTTGTTATTAAGTAAAATTTAGTGTTTTTCAATAAGACAGCATGTTTTGGTTATTGGCTCTTAATTTCTAGTTCACTACAAATGTTATACGAAATTGAGGCTAAAATGGTTGACCTACTAGAATTTCTGCAAACGCTTCCTGAAGATGAAGTAAAGGAAGTGAAACAGGCCAAAGAAGCTGAACAACGACAACAAATTAAAGAAGAGAAGAAGAATCAACAACGGATATATCAAGAGGAGCGAATACAAAAGGCGTTAGAACGTGCAAAAGCTGAACCAAAGAAACAAGTAAATAATTAATAATAGAAATTAGTAGTAGTTAACAATGACCAGTAGTTTAAAAGAATGAGGAAATCTGGGTAAATGAATGACTGGACTGTATGCATTATCTACACCTAATGAGGCTATTAGTAAGTATTATTGATTGTGTGCTGTGAACCAGAACAGGGGAGTTGCCTAGCTATATTTTATGAATGATGATTATGTGGGCGATGTTAGATTGTGTTGAAAACTGTTTTGAACTCAACGGATCAACCGAAATCATTATTACAAATAGGAATTTCTGCTTTCATATATATTTTGTCCCATTTTAAGATTTCAGTAGTTATTTCGTTAACCATCACATATTGTCAACTCACTTACCATTGCAATAATCACTTACCTGAAATCAGGATTCACAAATCATTGAAAACTTTTGTTTACTGTAGATTTTTCTTACATCATAAGCTAGTTCAGACATCAGGACAATTAAGACTCCGTGGCATTATCGTGTCGGTTAGACCAGTGACTGAATCAGTAAGTGAATTGTGGCAATTTTTAACTGCTTGACTTTTTTTCATGATTCTACGTTGAAAAACCAGACAGTCAGTCACATCACACTAAACACAGTAAGGTTCAAACAACTGAATCAGTTATCAACTGGTGTGTCTGGTCTACACACATGTCTTACACGCAGCTACTTAGTTGGCCAATAACCCCGTATCATATTGCTGATTTGTTGGCTTCTTGTATCCTACTGAAAAAAAACTAGAACTGGATACTTTTTACCTAGTAACAGGGTCTTATTTCACCAATACTAGTTGATGTAGGATTTCGATGAGGGAAGCTATGATTTCTTAGCACAAAACAATTTACTGTTCAACGTATTATCTAATTGTTGATGCAATCTATTTGAGAGAGTGTGAGAACAGCGGTTTGAGATACTAGAATTCAGTGACCAGAACCTCTTAGTGAAAAACTCGAAGTCACTACGGAGGAGCCGGTTGTTTAGAAATAATTTCACTCAAAAGCTACATAATTTAGGAGATATTAAATTGTGGTATTAGGTCAACTTGGTCTTCGTAAGCAGTTAAACATATCATCAAGGAGAATTAAATACATTCACAGAAGACATTTATTTTGTATACTCATTTATATACCTTCATTCTAGAGTGTTAAAAACAAATGAACAATTTTTGGCAGATATTCGGATTTCTAAAGTGCATTTGATGAATAAAGAGCTTACGAGTGAATTCAATGAAAAACAGAATTCTCATTCTTGACGATGTTTTAGTTATTCAGTCTTCTCTGAATCCCTTCAAAGAACAGTTTATTTTGTCATTTAAGAAAATTGATATTGCACTAATTACGTCTATTTTTAAAAAATCTTTATCTTACAAATCCTATAGACTGGGCGCAGACTGGTGACTCGATCACAGCCTCCAGTAATACATAAATCAGATGACAAGAAAAATGATGCAGAAGCTAGAGAAGCAAAGGAGCTAGCCTTCTTATTCGAATGAATATGCTTTAACTAATAATAATAATAATAATCAAAACAGTAACAGTCTAACTTACAAATTTATCCACAGCTTTTCTTAATATTTTTCTACGCATAATAACCATACTACTTATAATAATAATTATTATTATTAACATTCAAGATTTTGTAAACTTTTCGTGTGCAGATGTACATTTTTACGGATCGCAAATTTCTCATATAGGGGCAACTGGGTATGATTCTTTATTCCCAATGCATTGCTGATCAACTGTACAATGAAAATAAAGTTTTATCTTTGCTTGGTTTACCACTGATAAATTTATTTCTCATTCACACCCTACAGTATGCTGTGCTCCATAATGTTTTAGCTTTGGCGATGAACTCCTAACCAGACTTTTTCAGCTAGTGGTCAGTGTATAAAACTGTAAATACGCTCTGATCAATTACCAGCACATGTTTAAGTTTTCTTGTGACTGCAACACTAAATACGATTTTTATGTGTACTTAGTTGTCCATTTCAAAGCTGGATGGCTATAGCTGCTTAAATTATCCTCTTAAGTGCCTCCATCAGTACTCTTATTTCAGTATTCCTATACTTAGAGTTCCATAACAGAATGAATCACTTATTAAACCCTCATTAGTTTCTAGCAGTACTACTGATGAACAGTTAAAATTAGCTTAATGCTATTTTGGTTGGTGGTGATTAGCAGTACTATTCAGGATGCAAATTTCGTCCTATTTTGGATTCGTCATCTGGATTCTTTGGTCCCGTTGCTAGTCTCCATCAACTAAAATAATACCGTGTTATAAACTTCAGACTCCATGGGAGCACCCATACTACGAGCCGACATGTCAACAGAAACTAGGCATTTCGTCCCAATATAACCAATGAGAGAGAAATTAAACTTAGTAAAATTAATGTGATCAGTTCCTGGTTAGTACTATGAGTAATGTTCTTCAGGAACAGTGTGTATAAAATTATTTCCTAATTGACGATTTCTTTTTTGTCTATAGAAGGATTTAGGTACATTTAGGTTACTCGCTCACTAGTTCTTATTGGCACTATGTGTTTACAATATGACTAACAGGTTTGGTTAATTTATCCACTGAGTCATCCATACTGTGCTTTTATGTATACTGTATGCATTCATCAGCTGTTTCAAAGTGAGATGCAGATGACTTATATTATTCACCAGTTTTAGGCGATTCTTTATACCAACAGGTTTCTGCCTTGTCACCTATATACCTGTCTAGTCTAAAATGGAACGATCGAATGTCTTCCCATCACTACAGTGAACGGTTATGATGCGCTGTCATCCGACATTAGTTTTAATAGAATCTGTACGCAGAAAGTTTTAGACTTTGACAGTGCGGTTGGTGGCACACACCGGTTTGTTTCCTTCATAAACAAGACTTTTAAAGTCACAAAAAACTTGTTCATTAATTTTGTGACAGCCCTCATGAGTGATTCAGGTACCGATAACGGAAAAAGTATAAGTTAACCTTAAAAATACTTCTAATTACTCCAAGTAGACTAACAAATTAAGTTGAAAGCTACGGTTTCACGTTATGTGTAACAGCATGTTAATATCAATCAATGGTCACTTTTATCTGTTTGATAGATACTATATGTAATGTGTCCTGAGGAGATAGGAGACAAATGTATAACTATGACTGATAAAATGAGGTATAACAGATGGAAAGTAGATTAATTCTTACAGAAAATTATTAGGAAATTGTGACTGACGCTGATTTTAATAGTCAAAGTGAACATTAGGAGAATTGTGCGTCGGTGGCACAGTGGTTAGGACTCTCGCCGACCATGTACATGGTCCCGGGTTCGATCCCCTACCGACGCACTCCTGATATCTATGGTTGGCCTTCAAAATTTGGGCTACCGATATCACATTCTGAAAATTCCATACCTGTACCAAAAAATACAGTGTGGAATAAAGCTGTAATCAAAAAATTCCGATCACTTATGAAAAGCCATGAACAGTGATACACCATCGGTTACTTGGACAGCTTAATTAAAACATCAAGAGTGGAGTTTAGAAAACGCAGACCATAGTTAAAAATGATGAAAGGACTTGGATAGTACAAAGTTTGATGGGCGAATTAAGTTACGTTAACACTGAAAGCTCATATTAAACAATCAATTAACAGTTCACTTCTACACATTTTCAAACATTAAGAAACCACGGCAACACCAAAAATTAGCCTTCCAGTTGTGATAAAATTTGAGTGCTTCCGTAAGGGAGTTTAAGTATTACGACTACTCTATTTTAATTTTGTTTCAAATGTGAATAAAATAGCTGGAACAGGTATCAGGTACTCTGTAATTTTTCAGTGAATCTTTATATAATTTCGGTTCATGATGAAATCTACGGTTAAATTATTCAAATTCCAGCAACACAAACCGGAATAGACACCCATGTCGGTTAATTTAGGAATACTCTCATAACAGATGCTACTTATTCTGGAACAAATATGGTTAAAGCCAACAAATGTTTTCAATAAATTCTTATTCAAGCTCTACAATTATAAATCCATTAATTTAAGCATACAATAGCCAGTAAAGGCAAATTAGAATCATATCAGAAATATATTGTGGAACAAGTATAAGATGGGATGGAACAATAGTCAATTAGTTTTTGAATATGCACGGTCAATGAGATGAAACAATTTAAGACATAAATATATATATATATTGAAGGAAGTACAGGTTTCGAGGGTGAATGTAATCAGTGGTGTGTGAGATAATGTGAATACTACAGAAAATAAACCAGACGTACAAGGATGAAAATAACAACAACAATAATGATTGTGAAATAGTAACGATGATGCGGTGTAAACTTAAGAGTACTATTGGTGAACGATCATCAAATAATAATGAATTTACCATTATTATTATTATTGTTCCCTTGGGTTCCGAGTGGAACATAGCGTTTCAACAACACATCTCCGTTTTGTTCTATTTTCTGCCATCCTGTTCACTTGGGTCCACGATTGCCAAGACTCTCTCATCCCTTCATAATGAATTAAGTGAAGCAAAATGAACAAGTTAAGAAAGCATTACTTAAACCTAAGGTAATAGAAGTCATAGGAAACGTCATGAAGTTGTAAAAGGTCAGAAATGAACGTTTGTTAATGAAACAAAGGGAAAGAAGAAGTAAAGGGAGAGAAATAAAGGCACTCAGTGAGTACATGAAGCATAGTGCTAGGCTCATGAAAGCGAAAATGTATTCGAAATCGTACTTCAAACAGCCAGTATCCTGAATTATATTCAAAATACCTTCAACGATACAAAACACGATTGAAGGAGAAGTTATTAAAGCAAATTGCCGTTAATCAGATCAAATCTCTCCATACATATTTATCGGAACTAAAAATAAATGTTTCTCAAAGACTTTATGCAGTTGATGAACTTCCTCAGAACTTCAAGGATTTATTTACTGACCAAGTTAATCAACTTATGAGGGCTCAAAAAAACAAGAAATTGATATTATTAACCACAGGACCAGATACACAAACAACCGAAAATGATTTTCCAGTTGACTACAACTGGCATATTTTCAATTTTCCCTCAGTATTCTTAGGTAAGATATAATTTGGAGCTTTATCTCTCTGTGTAAAATTCTGTGAGAGACGTAATCAAGGTCAGTAATTTAAAGACAGTGTTCAGTCTGAAAACCTATATACCCAGACAAACGACCAAATTTCTTCATCCAAATATGAACTCAAAATATTTAAAAGTACCCTAGTCGATTTTTGCCATCAGTTTAGGAAAAACAAACATTCTGTCAACAGCCTACTTAAAAAGAACCACTGTGGTGTTACGTGACCTCAAGAAGAAGGAAAATCCGACAATAACAGGACCTGATAAATTACCTGGTACAGTTTTCATGAATAAGAGTATTTTTATAGACAAAATGAAGCTCATTTTAAGTGACTAAACGAAATTTCAAAAACTGAATATTTGTAAAGACACAACTGAACGCCAAATGACTGAGATATTAAAAATCACTAGTTGAGAGTAATCTGTTTCGTAAGTGTACGCTCAGCGAATTGAAAACCTTAGCGACGCACACGCCCCGACTTTATGGTTCACCGAAATAATAATAAATGAATAATTAATAAATAAAGTCCACAAGTCCGGGGTACCACTGTGTGCCATCCTAGATATGTATCAATCTCCCTGTCATTCCAAAGCAGTGGTTGATGAAGGCACTGAAACCTTTACATAGCGAACTAGTGAATTTCAGCGTAAAAGACGTATTTAGCTTGTCAGAAACCGTCAAAAAGCTAAATATAGTGGGAAAGAAATTGATATCACAATATGTAGTGTCATTATTCACCAATGTCCCATTGCTCGAAACACTCAACTACTTATGTGACCTTAGAAAGAAGATAACACGAAGTTCAGCAAAGATATTTTTCGGCGGTTGCATTTTCAAAAGCTGTACAATAGCATTTAAATACATAATTTTACAAGGATACAATTCTTGTTTGATTCCACATATTTACGACGGCGAATAAAAGGTGACAATTATTTTCAACTAGATATGATTTACGAAAGGCTTAGAAACAAAATTACTCAGGAATAGAAGGGATAACAAGTGTGTAAAAATGAACATGGAAACAAAGTTGAAACAGTAATTTTCAACTTCAGATAGGAGTTAGGAGGTGCGAATGTCGATTGCGAGAGCCTTAGAAACACAAAAATTGCACGAGATTAAGATAGAATTGTAAAATAGTTATTTTAAACGAATTATAAATGTGAACAGGAAAGGCATGGAAACAAACCTAAAATAATTGTATTTTATGACTGGAAAAATGGGGTGAATCGGATGAAGACAGAGGGAGTAAAAATCACACAGCGAGCGAGAAATGATCAAAAGAGGAGAACGAAAGAAGAAAGAAAAAAAGTACGGAAGCTAAAGGAACAAACCGAACTATGTCCATGGTAGTTGTAGACGTTGTACTAATTTCTTTTGAACACACAGCTCCGGCTTCTCGATGCATATTGCGAGGGCTTTTGAGGTACAGAGATGTCGGAAACATATCGCTTTTGGTAGGTTTCCGTTGGCTTTGTAAATTACTTTGAAATATAGAAGAACAATAGAATTTTATTGGATGTTATAAATCGCAAAGAGTGAATGCCTCTGGACCAGCTATTGAGAATGATTTTGAGCCATATCACCAATTGTTTCCAGCCACTGGTTTCTACCGTCCCGAGGACCCCAACCAGGAAGTCTACCCCGCCCTACGTGGCTAGCCGAAGAAAAGGTCATCATGGATGAAAAGAGACACGCAACGTTTTCTGCAAGCAAAGTGGAAGGCTTCGTCTATGTGGTGAATATTCAAGAGTCAGACCTACCACGATGCATACATGGAACTCAGGAACCGGTGTAACGTG